TTCATGTAGGGATCCAGTGGCCAACGTCTCCGGGCAGGGTCAACAAAAGTTCCAAGGAGCAGAGATGAGTCAGGGAATGGCAGGAGGCCTGCTCTGGAAAGCTAACTGACCATAAAATCAGCACCAAGTTGGTGGGTGGTCCAAGTGGCCAATTCCCACCTTTCCTTCTTCCTTTTTACCTAGAAATGACGATCCCAACCACCTGTGCCACATCAAGCCACTTAAAGGAACCTGAAGACCAGCTGCTCTTTCCTCCTGGAGGAAGCTGAAGAAGACATTTTGACCTCACTGGTCTTGGATGCACACGCTCCCTGTGGTCTGAGAAAGTCCTGGGACTCGGCTGGCCTGAGAGCTGGCAGGGAGTTCCGCCTCCTCCCCTCAGGCACTGGACACAGACGCGGGTTTTAAAGGTGAGTGAAGACAATTTCCGCTCTCCTTCTGGTACCACTCCTTATTGTGAAAAGGAGTGAGAATTAAATAAGACAAGGCCAGACACCACCAGAAGGTGAGCAGGCACCGTGGGGGTGGACCCCAACAGCCAGGGGATGCACAGCTCTGCAGGCGGCTCACAGCAGGACTTCCCTCACCTGCTCTCACCTCTTACCCTCCCGCAGCCTCATCAGCGTTGCTCCATAGGACACAAGAAAACATCAGCTGCACAGTAAGGAAAAGCCACAGCCGGACAGGACAGGACACGCTCCAACAACCCTCCTAGGGTCAAGGGAACCCAGGGGCCTCCCGTCTCCACCCAAAGCATCGCAGCAAGCACAGCGCTCTCCTGAATCCTGTTTCCATGTTCCAGAGGGAAAAAGCCTTTCCATTCTGGGTCTCTTCTGAAGGCCAGGCCACCTCCTCTGTAAGATCCCTTCTCGCACCGGCCCTGACCCACAGCCCAAGAGTGAACTCATCACTTGCTTAAATAAATATATATATAGATAGAGATAGATAGATAGATAGATAGATGTCTGCACACCCTTGTTCATAGAGCAACACTCACAAAATAATGGTGATAAGAGCCCACGCATGGAAGCAACCCAAGTGCCCATCACCAGATGAACGGATGCAGCGTGACATGCACAATAGGTTATTATCAGCCTTAAGGACGGTGGGGTGGATTCTGACATCTGCCACAGCACGGAGGAATCCTGAAGGTATGGCGCTAAGCGAAATCAGCCAGTCACCAATGGAACAAGGTTTTGTGATTCCAAACTCACAGGAATAGAAGAAATGGCAGTTCTAGGGGCTGTGGGGAGGGGAACAAGGAGTTGTTTCACGAGTTTTGCAAGATGTAAGGCTCTGGAGATTGGGTGCACAAGGATGGGAATATTCTCAACACTAGTCAGCTACACACTTGAAAAGAATGAAAATGGTAAATTTTAAGTTATATGTTTGTAAATCATAATTTTAAAAAAATAAATTAAAAAGACATATATTTAGCCCACAAACTGGAATCAGTTGCTTTCTCTTCTAAACTACCCCTGAATCCTCAGGGGCTAATTGGCAAGAATCACTTGCCTCATATGGCACCCATGGGACCCCCCTGAAATAACAGGTACTAGCATCGCTGCTTACTTTACAGATGAGCAGGCGGAGGGAGGTCCAGAGTGACTCAATGTCTTGGCAAGATGGCACCCTCACGGATGAATGAAGGGTGCCCCATCTCAGCTTGTCTTACGGAGCCTGCTCTTCCCCCTAGATGACCATACCATTCCTGCAAGCAGGCTTCCCCCACCCAACCCTCCTAAGGCTCTCCCAAAGGTCACAGTCACCTCCGGGTTCCATTCCTAGGCTTGGTGGGCTTATCCACACTGGGCTTCTGTGGTAGGTGATGCAGACTGACCCGCCCTGGCCTTCTGGACACAGTCTCTTCCCTCCGCCTTCTCCTGGTAATCCTGCTGTCTGACCACTCCTTCCTTATCATGTTCTTAAGAAACAGAGTCTTCCTCAATTTCCGCCAAAACAAGGGCTAATCAATGACTCAATAAGTAGTGACTAGTTACAGTACTTTGAATTCATTTCACACATTCTCAGGGTTGTTTCTGTTATCTGTTCTAGATCTCCGGAGACAGGTTCTCTAGAGTTGTCCATGAAGGTGGGGAGTCTATTTGACTTACCATACACCTCTCAAAGCCGAGGGTAATAAATGACATGTAGTCAATTTCACAAAGAATTATTAAATTTGATCTTCATATAACCAAACCCTTGGGTTCAAAACCACTTTTCCCAGCACTCTTCCAGATTCAATGAGAAAATGTCCCCAACTACTTAGCTGTCGCCCTCACTCCAAGGCCAGATGGGGTTTATCACGGGCTCCAGGGAAGATCTAAAGCAGTTGAAAAGCTTCACAGCGTTACTTCTCAGATCCCTGCCATATCTCACCCCAGTACAAAATCATTAAATGAAATTAGAATATTCCAATTTTCCTACATGTCCACCTACTAATTGAACTAAATACTTGAAACCCTAACACAAGAAATTAGAGGAAACTCGAAAAGTGTGATCATTCCAGTCAGCTAGATTTTGGTGAAGAGTATGTTCACTTAGCTGTAGATTAAATTCACCCCACCATGTCCCTGCACAGCAAGTTACACAACAGTCCACTTTTATCCTGTTATTTCCTTAAAATAACAGGCTGCTTCACCAGCACCCTCTGTAGGTGACACACCTGAGGCGGGCCCTACATCTTCCTTTGTACTTCATCCTTTTTTGAACAGGACATGCGGAAGTCTACTTCTGATCTCTGACCTCAGGAAATAGGAATGTTCTCCTATTAGTTCTCTGCCCAGCATAATGGAATCCTAATAGGCTGCTAGGATTCGCTCTGCAAAAATCAATGTTGTAGACCCAGCAGGGCAACTCAGCTGCTCCAGTGGGTGCGGCAATGCACACAGCACGGGTACCACTGGGTAAGTCACTGCTCCAAGGAACGGACCTTTACCCTAGGGAGCTCAGAGCTGGCCTTCATTTTTTTATTAGAGCATTATAATCATACATAATGTTTGGGTTCCCATTGACAAGACTGACATGCAAGGAATTTGATTTCTATTCCTACTCCTGCACCCCATTATTCCCTCCTCTACTCCACTGATCTTCCTTTCACTCCTTTATTGATTTATTTTTCAATGGCACCTTCTACATGTACATAAAGGTGGAATCCCCCTGGGTACATTCATGTGTGTATATGACAGGACTCTGTTGGATTCACTCCATGTTTCCTCCCCTTTCCCTCCCTCCCTTCGTCTCCTTCTCCTCCTACTCTCTTACCTTATCTTCATCCTATCTGGTCCCCTCCTCCCTCTTTCCTCCATTTTGCTCTAGCTTCCACATAGGATGGAAAACATTTGACTTGATTTTCTGAGTCTGGCTTATTTCATTTGGCATGATTTTCTCCATTTCCATCCATTTATCGGCAAATGCCATTATTTCCTCCTTCTTTGTGGCTGAGTAAAACTCCGCTGTGTGAATGTGCCACATGTTCTTGCTCCATTCCTCTGTTGACAGGCATCTGACTGGCTCCATGTCTTAGCTATTATGAACTGAGGTGCTGTAGACATCCTAGTGACTGTGTCCCTACACTATGCTGGTTTTAGTCCTTTTGCATAAATACCAAAGAGGAAAGATAGCTAGTCATATGGTGGGTCCGTTTCTAGTTTTTGGAAGAATCTTCACACTGCTTTCCAAAGTGGTTGGATTAATTTTCCGCCTGGCCAACAATGAAGGAGTACACCTTTTTCTCCACCTCCTCACCAACATCTATTTATTTATTTTGTATTCTTGATAATTGCCAATCTGACTGAAGTGAGATGAAATCTCAATATCTCTGATTCCTAGAGATATTGAACATTTTTCATATCTGTCATTTATTGATTGGGTTTTTTGTTTGTTTTTAGCATTGAGGTTTTTTTTAATGTCCTGGATATTAATCCCCCATCGGAGAAGTAGCTGGCAAGGATTTGTCTTCCCGTTCCATAGGCTCTCTCTCTTTCCTCTCTTTGTTGCTCAAAGCTTTTTAATGTGGTGGCATCCCACTTTATTGATTCCTGGTTTTATTTCTTGAGCTTTAGGGGTCTTGCCGAGGAAGTCAACGCCTGCACTTATATGATGAAGTGCTGACCCTAGGTTCTTTTCCAGCAGTTACAAGGTTTCTGGCCTAATTCCTAAGTCTTCCATCCGTTTTGATCTGACTCTTGTGCAGGGTGAGAGACAGGGGTCTCGTTTCATTCTCCTACATATGGATTTCCAGTCCTCCCAGCGCCGTTTGTTTAAAAGGTTGTCTTTCCTCCAATGTGTGTTTTGGGCACCTTTGTCAAGGGTCCGATGACTGTAGGTATGTGGCTCTGACTGTCTTGTATACTATCCCACTGGTCTCCATGTGGATTCACTCAGATCTTCTTTAAATGGGTTTTTTTTGTGTGTTTGATTTAGGTATTGAGACTAATCTCCCACCTTATTTAAAATACCTCAAAAATACTAAAGGAGCAATTTCCTACAAACTTGTAATATGGACAACATCTAAAATATTGCACAATGTAAAAAAAAGATAAAATTTCACCAAAGAAAGAAAGAAACGTGATTACAGAGTTGTGTTGTGAATTTGGGACGCTGGCTGCTACGAGAGAGGGGATAATTTCTTTTAAGTCTAGATGGAAAAAAGAACCAACTCTCACCGTAACACACTGGTAGATTGAAATGGGGCCTTACAAGGAACATGGAATGCAATATCAATTTTTGAGAAAAATTGTTTTTCAACAAACGAAAGGTCACTCTTTGATAACACAAGTGTGATGGCCCAAGACGCTGACCCAAGGAAGCCTCCCTTTTTAGGATGGAGAAGATGCCTTAAAAGATCATCTCTCTTTGAAAGAAGGAGGAAAGAAGAGCCTGTCTACACTTCTGAGAGTGACAGAGACACGTTTTCTTTTCATCCCGCGGTCGTCTTCCATGACGCCCGTACCCAGAGTTCAGGCTTTCTCAATGTTTCGCTGCTGTTATTATCTTACCCGGTCTAAAGGCTCTGCTTTCAGAAGGCTGTGGTCTCTGAAGTCCGAGTATGTCACTGGAACAAATGCCACCCAGAGAAGGTACGGGCGCCCAGAGGGTGAGGCGGGCGGACTTCAGAGCCCCTGGGGAAGACTCGCACACCCTCTCTTCAGCGGGGTTCCCTGCGTGTGACAACAAAAGAAAACTGACTGATTTGGCCAATATTATTGTCTCCAAATTCCTTGCAGTGGACCCTCTTGCTGTCTGCAGAGGGGGCTCGCTCTCCCACCGCCCTGCTCTGGAGACCTCAAGAGCACATTTGGACCTAACTCTGCCACTGCCTTTGTGGGGTCACCGAACTGCCACCCTGCTACCCCCCGTAGCTCCTGCAGTCAGCACCTGTCCCACGACCCCCGTTTTCTGTTACTTTCCTTCTTCACTGCTGGCCTGTGCGGTCCTGAAGGTCGCAGACCCTGACTTGACCTTCCCAACATTTCCCAGTGCCCCCAGCACAACAGGTCCTCGGTATGGCCACTAATTTAAGGAAAATCCGTGCTGCACCTGGAATGAACCAGGCCCTGCTCTGGGAGCCGGGGTGGTGGCAGTGAAGGAAACACACACCAGGGTCAGTTTGGGCAAGCTGACGCTCCACCATGTTCCTACGGGTGGACAGAAGGCTACTAGAGAACCAGTTCCTTCTCTCCTTGACACTTGGAGATCTTATTCAGAGAAAGAAGTAAACCTTGCCCCTGACCTGCAGTTACAAATCTCTACAATTAGGAACCCGAAGTCCAAGCCCGATCAGAGTCCTAGAGTTATGAGTGGACCTGTTCATGTCCTTTATCAACAACCAATATCAAAAGACGGGAGATGGGACCCCCGTGTTGCCATCGGACCATCATTCAGACCACACGCTGGAACGTGTACTCTGAGGCAGCCATGGTTATCTTCAAAACTGGGAAAGTGAGGGCTGGGATAGAGCTCAGGTGGTAGAGTGCTGGCTTTGCATGCATAAGGCCCTGGGTTCAATTCCCACCACCACCAAAAACAAACCAGAAAAGCATGCTGGGAGAGATGCGGAGGACCAGGCTTCCTCCATCCCCACGGCTAATTCTAACAACAGCGCCCATCCTCGGAACGTTTGCAGCCTCAAAATCCTTTCATTTCACTCGTGTTCCTGCATGTGAACCCTCACATGGCAGCTGATGCAGGGGGCTGGGATTCCTAGAATCTTGTGTCTGTAGATGCTAAGTGGAGGCTCAGAGCGGTCAGGTCATTTTATGCAGTGGGTAAATTATAAGGTCAAACTAGCAGGAGAGCCACGGACTGCAAGGTCAACAGCAGGTTCTAAGGACGGCACACCACCTCAAGAGGAGACACGGGACACAGAGCTGGAAACACACTGAACACTCAGGTGCAACACAAGTCCTCTCCCCAACCACGCCCCACCCCCCCTCTCTTGCACCCCTACGTTTTGGGGTTCCACAGGCCAATCAACCAGTCACTGCCAACAAAGACTACCCGTCCTACAGAAGTCGGGGGCAGACCTTCCGACAGTGGCCTGCCGGTGCTCTGCATCATGCCCTCATCGCCCCTCGACTCTGGAGTGTCTCCCGTAGCTCACTAACATCCTGTCCAAGACAGAAGCCCTGCTCCCCAAGCTCTGGGAGGGCCAGAATGTCACACACTTCGGCCACCCTGGTCCTGGGCACGCTTTGTGACCGGTGGCAGGATGAGTCGTGAATGAACGCACGAGGCCCCACTGCCCTGTGGAAGCTGCTCAGGAGTTTCTGCTTTTCCTCCTCCATCGCTTGCGCCATGGGAAGGCGGAGGCGCTCTGGGCTCCCCGTGTGCATCACGCGCCCGCCGAGCCCAGATGGTGCCGGGTTTCTGCGGCATGTGTGTCGCATCAATATTTGCTCATTGATCTGTTGCTCAAATACCACGACTGAGTTGTGTTTGTCTGGCAAATCAGGCGACTTTAATAATTAGTGTCTGAGGTGGGAAAACGTCTTCTAAAACGCTTAGGGGTGAATGGGAAGGATCCAGAGTGACCCCGGCCTATGGGAAGTGCACGAGAGGGAAACCCGTTCCCTAGCCCAAAAGAATCGTGAAATCAACAAGAGCAACACTGTCTGTGTCGTTCTACACACACACACACACACACACACACACACACACACACACACACACTCAGACACACAGAAGCATGCCAAGTAACAAAAGTACCTCTGAGGCTGATGGAAACCTGCAGAGTCACACCACGGTCACTGAAACGCAGACGTGTCAACTCTTGCTCTAGCAAACTAAAAAGACTCCTCCTCATGTCTACAAACACCGTACTTTGTAATTCTTCTGACAAAAGCGCATGCACTAAACTATTATTAGACCCCCTAACCTGAATGGGGTGCTTTGAACCAGATTTCAGATTCATTAAAGGTCAATTAGAAACTATCAGTGGTTCGCGCCTTTCGACTGGAGCAGGTTGGGGGATTGGAGAATGTGAGAGTTAGCTGCGAGAGCACAGGTCAGTGAAAGCCCCCACCCAATAAAAGGAGCCTTTCTGTGGCTACCACTGAGACCCTGAGGAAATGCATTAAAAGTCCAAGTTTCCACAGAATGAACACACTTCATCTTTCTTTGATGATAAAGAATTTTCAGGTGGCACACGGTTACGTTTGGAATCAATCTCTCAAGTACTGGGAGCTACAGGAGATGTGATCCAGGTACACAGAGGCAAAGGAACACAAATCTCATGTCCAGGAAAACATATAAAATTTAAAATCCTTAATATGTCTCTGTCTTCTAAGAGATGCTCAAAGGAAGCCAGATTGGTTAAAGACCAATGATTTTTGGATTCTGTTTATCTGGGGTTTAATTTTATCTTCACTGAAAAAAAAAATAATTTGATGTTACTATTGATGTAACAAGGAGTCAGATCAGGACCAAAAGACAATGATGTTGTCAAAGCTTAATTGGAAACTCTCCTGAATTATTAATAATAGCATAATTCCTGCTTCTAGATGAATACATGATCATCTTAATGGAAGCATGCCCCATGATAAGACTGTATTGCAATAAAAAAAATCTACTACACCTCACAACATAGAGCTGATTTGGACCTATGTGCAAGGTCCTTATTTGTAAATCTCATGACATCTGAAATATTCTAGGTGAAGTCACCGATGTAAGAGACTCGCCATGGTCAGTCCTAAACATCTACAACTCCCTTACTTCACACTCCACTTGCCCTTTCAAATCTTTCAATGTCCACTTTTCCTAAGGAGCAGCACGACCTTAGAGGACAC